AAATAAACTTAATTATTTTAAGGTTGTTTTGTTCTCAAAATTACTTTTAAATATGGTTTTTCTCTGCAAAGTATAGTTCCAGTCATCAATCTTTTGCTGCTTTCATTTTTGAGTAATTAAGTACTTTTTTTCAAGTACATTTAATACGTATCGAACCCTAGAAACGCCCTTAATCTAGTAGTCTATATTCTAATTATGTTGTATATATGTACATGTTAGTAAGTGATGTATGTATTTGTGGATATGTGTATGGTTCTGTGTGCGAAGTTCATGTTGATGTGATATGTGTATTAATTTAAAAAAAGGATAACAATGACAGACTCATGTTTTTATTTTTCATGTTATTTTTTGCTACCCTACGAAATAATTCTGTCACTATGTAATTTCCTTTTTTTTTTCGTTTTTATTTATTTTCTTTTACATTTGTACACGTTCTGTGATAGAAAAACAGACTGGCACGAATTAGAAGTATGTATATTGAAAAAATAGCCATGGAATGGAATATATAACGGTTTGCATTGAAAATTTTGTAAAATTCCAAATATAAGAGCAATAAGACTTTTGTGTCCCTATAGTTGTAAAATTTTTGGTTTTAACTGTATGATAAAATATCTATTTATTGGACCAAACGAACACCAATTTATTCCAAACTATCGTATATAAATAAACAATATTGTCTTTAGAAGCTAATGTTAATTTCATTATTCATGCTACATTGTATATAAAATGTATTTTCAGTTTATGTTTGTGGTAATACGTTTGTGATTCTTTTTCCTGTTTTTCAGTTACTAAATATAATAAATACTTGTACATAAACAAAAATTATTCCCCGTTTTTCGTAAAAGAATCACAAATTGTTGTAAATACTACTATGCAATGTTTAGTTAAACTTTATGTGCGTAGTTATAGTTCAGTTGATTTGTGATATTTTCGTATATAGGTTTGATTAAATAATTATTATTTTACCAGTGTTTAAGTACTATTTATCCACTTTGTTATGATGTTTCAAATATTTTATCAGTTATCCAATATTTTATGTGTATCAATTAAAGTTTGTGTATATATTTTATTGACCTTGTTATATGTGTAGTGCTTCTTTAGATTCCATGAAAAATGTGTTGTCAAGAAAATAATTTCTCAATAAATGTGTGAACAGCAAAAGTATTAAAAATAATAATCCTAATATGGCAATAACAAAGTATATTCCAACAAGATTATACATACAGTTTCACATGAACATACATACAGTTTCACATGAACGATGGGTCATAATTAGGTCAAAATTTAATTTGAAAAAGTTTTAACTGTCTATCTAATCGTAAGCTACAATCATATTTACTAAATAGTTCACAAAGTAAAATACAAAATACATATAAAATAAAAAAAGGGATCGTCCATAAAGTACATCACTCAAAATTTCACCTTTTTGAACACCTCCCTCCTGCTTTATCACTCTAAATCACAATTTCAGCGACCCCCCTAAAAATATTACGTTACAAAAGCTAGCCCTCTCCCTCACAACGATTTCTTACGATTAAAAAATAGCAATGAGAATTAATTTCTATCGTAATGAAAAACTTTAAGAACTGTCAAGTTAAGAAAAACGTTAAAATAAAATTAATGGACTGTGAACGTCACATTTCCTCAGAATTTTTTTAAAATTTTGATTGTTTATTAAAATAGGTCTTATTTTTTTAAAAAGTGTAAGAAGTCATTTGTATTTATTTTAAATGTCTATNTTAAATTTTTATTAATATAAATATGCATCACTAATCAATATCCCGTTAAGAATTAGGGTGTGCTTATTGTTATTGTTAGTTTCGATGCTGATAAGGTGAGATAAAGACATAATTACAGACTGTTTTGTGTAAGAGATTCCGATCATCATTCTGTTGGATTTTATAAACCTTGTGGGTGTGACATTGGCATTTGCGACTAAAGCGCCGTTGACCATAGAAAAGCTCTTTATTTCTGTGTGAGTGGTAATTATAAGTTTATTAATTTCATGAAGCACATCCTTATTACAAACAAAGTCTTTCTGACGTAACGCCCACATCGTAATTATTATTCTCATACCTACACGTTTGTTCCATCAAATGTCACCGATTATGATGGTGGCAGCACCCATAAAAAAACGTTATTTATGCATAATAGAAAAGTATTTTCTCGAAATTCTTTGTAATTTTGCTTTTGTTAAGAGGTAATCGAACTACCAAATATACACAACTGCCTGTGCAATTTTTCTTTTGTATCTTTATATATCTGAAATGAAGTGCATATTGTTTTAAGTTTAATTTTTTTTTTTTTAATTTGGTTTTAAATGGGTAGTTTTTCACAGAAATGTGGCTAATAAGTTGTATTTTATTCCTTCAAAATTGTCAATCTTAAATAGAGATTTGAGATGCAATTTAATGTTAAAAAAGTTAATAGAAAAATGGCCAGTATCCCAAAAGTCTACGAATGTCATAAGCTTATAAAATGCGAAATCGTACGAATCGCGAGTATTTACAGCAGCTCTGGTCAAAACTACCTCCGACTGCACAAAAAATACACAAGTTGGTGTAGTTTCTCTTAGAACTACTGCTATATAATGCTACTCGTGCTTCGTTTAAAATTGGCTCCAATATATTTTGTAACCACGAACTCGAATGGGTCAAGTCTTTATTGACCCTATTTTTCAATTAACTTTTAAACAATTTAGGGACTACCAACTACCCACAATTCTAGTCAAAATTTGAATAAAAGAAATTTTTCAAGTTTCAATTTTTTGCAAAATTATTTGCAAAAACTATCAGAAACTTCAGAACTCTTTATTTATTATCCTCCTTAGGTATGAGAGCACTTTTTCTACGATAAAAGGGTGCGGTCTGACGTTAGCACCCCGAAATTTAATTTATTGGTTTTGTTGTTAAAATTCTATCGAGAACTATAGAATTATCCCTAGGGGTACAGAACGCAAGAAAATTCAAACTTCATGAATAAGGGTGCCAACTTCGTGGCAATCAAAGATTAGTTCGGGACAGGAAACAGTGAAGGTGCGTGCCCTATCAGGCTTAGGACTTACGACCGATGACGATTACTTTTATCGTTTTGACAAGGACTGACCCAATCTTTAAGATATTATCCAAAATCGCTTTTGTATTTAAGCATGACGTAAGCTCAGTTTACCCTTTCGTCTAATTTTTCATTTTTAGTTTCGACCTTTCCTATATATCTACCTATATAGGTAATTTGGCGACGTAAACTTCGACCCGCGTCTAAAAATAGAGCTTTTGTCTTGATGATTTCGCCTGTCATCGCTCGCGGTCGCCCCGTTCCGTGTCTTTCGCTCTTTGCAAATTTCGGAGGTTTTGGATGACGTACGTTCCCTGAAATAACACCGATATGACGTCACATGCGGGGGTGTAAAGTTATTGATCGGTAACGTCATTGATGGTTGCGTGTGCGCGCTCTACCCCCTTGCGATTTATCAAAGGATTTAGTTCACGAGTCCCCGAAATTCACTAAACGCTCTCGTTCATTAAACACGTTGTACATTTTGTATCAGACAATAACAGCACCCGAGTACGTTTGGTGCTTTTGAATTGCTAATTTTTTGTTTTAACTATGTAAAAGTGCTACGGTGAAGTATAGCAAACGTTTCCGTTTCGTTTGAAATGTGTGTCAGTAGAACTTCCGTTTTTGTTTATTCAGATGCAGGTGCCACAGGTAAAGTTTAAGTATTTGTGTTGTTCCTATTTGATAGGTGTTTATTCCTTTAATTTTTGTGTCTTTTTTTTATTAAAATGAAACGATGAAAGTCTAATACGTTGTAGATTTACACGTACGATTTGTCTTTAAACAGTAAAGTACATTACCTATTAAATTTTCCAACTTTTATTAACTTTAATTAAGTCTTCACTGATCTAAATGGGTTATAAAAGGTATAATAATAAAATGTTAATTTTTTGTATTATTCATTATTTTTAGANTCTTTTACATTTGTACACGTTCTGTGATAGAAAAACAGACTGGCACGAATTAGAAGTATGTATATTGAAAAAATAGCCATGGAATGGAATATATAACGGTTTGCATTGAAAATTTTGTAAAATTCCAAATATAAGAGCAATAAGACTTTTGTGTCCCTATAGTTGTAAAATTTTTGGTTTTAACTGTATGATAAAATATCTATTTATTGGACCAAACGAACAGAATATAAATGTATCACATATAAAAAGGGTAGAGGGGAGAGCATCGCTGCCCTAAATACGTGTCAGAGATCATCGACGACCACATAAAACTAATTTTTCTGCTCCTCGGGCACAGTATTTGTTTTCCTGAATAAAAGGCACCCTATGTCCTTTTCTGTATCTCTGATAATGTGTGTAAAAAATTTCATGATGATTGATGGAGGAGCTAAGGTGTGAAATGGCAACAAACAATCAAACGAACTAACATTCGCATTTATATATTAGTTAGGATTACTAAACTTATATTTTCTATTTTAATTGATAGTCAATTTTTGGTTAATTATATTGGCCGAAGTTAATGGTTAATTGGTTAATTTTCCCTGTTTTAACGGACAATATTACATTTAGTTCCAATGGTTCTTGGAATTATTATTGTACGTCTTTAGTGTATAAAATTTTGATTGTTTATTAAAATAGGTCTTATTTTTTTAAAAAGTGTAAGAAGTCATTTGTATTTATTTTAAATGTCTTTATTATTTTTTTTACTAAGCAGGTTATTACACACATTTCTGCAAACTTCTTTCGCTAGTTGCCCAATGTAGAAATTGTATGCAATTTAGAAATTTCTGTATGCCTAGCGTATTCTGTACTAATTGCGTCGTTTACTTTTAATTACTTGGAAACGGACTACATAAATAATTAATCTAAATTTTTATCCGAACGAAATAATTTCCATATCACCTGCAACTAAAAGCGAGTTATGGATTTTAATTACCGTTACTATGAGCGAATTTCACACTTTAACGATGTTATTTCTCGTTGTTATAGGCCGATGCTTCTGTAGATATGGCCGAACGACATTTTTACAATGCAAGCATGGAATATGTTTGTCTTATTCAAGAGGTACAAGAGCGTAAAAAGTTCGAATTTGTTGAGACTTTACTCAGTTTCATGTTTGGGTGGTTAACATTTTACCATCAGGTAAGTCATATATTGTATTCTTCTTCTTTGTAACATATAACATAAAGATTAGAGCCGAGGGTCGATAATGAGAGTTTGTCTAAAATTTTTCGATTTATAATTTTAATAATAATTCAACTTTTAGAACTTCTGTTTTTTTTTTAACTTTCTTAGAACTAGTAGGAAAACCTTTAGATTAGGAATTACCGAAATTCTTAAAGAAATAATTTCTTTAGTGAAGAGTTTTCCCGAGTTTAAAAAGTTTTGTATCACTAAGTTTACAAAAAAATTTTTTTAGCTTTAAAATAGTCTGGTCAAAACCTCATTTATTACAGCGAAATAGCAATAAATTTTATACTAACCAATAGTTAAAGTCTAATAACAGCGAAAAAAATGTAAAATACTAATTAATTTCGTCATATTTTTAAATTAACATGGTTCGAATTAAACCGAACGAAATCTCATGGTATTTAGTATGCCAGAACACTTTTTTATAAACTATCTTATTTAATTTATTTAGTTGCTGATTTTACTATTCACATCTCAGCTGGCCACCTAGAGGGTAGCAATATATATTTCGTTCTCCTGTTTAAAATGTCCTTATTTTTTTTTTATAGGAACATCATAATGCGTCTCTAAATAATTATTGTTACTGTAATTGTGACTCAATAATAATTTTTTTTTGGTTTTTTTAATCAATCTACAAAACTTAGTAAAGAAAAATCAAAGAAGTTGAAAATTGTATTTACTGTCTGAATGTCGACCTAAAATTGAATTATTATTATCTGTACGGTACTTTGCAATCTAATGTTTTTGATATTTAGATATCTATGAATTTTCTAACAAGAAATTTAATTACATTGCCTATTTTAAGCATAAAACAGTACTCAAGAGATTGAGTCCCATCTTCACCCACTTTGATCGCGAGTGATTATTTTAGACTTAATTGTACCTACATTATAATATGTTATCATTTGTTTCTAAAGGTTTAATTGAAACAAAAATAATCAGGATAAAATTTGTTTATTAATTACCTAATGAAACGTAAAATTCTTCAGGGTCACGAAGTTGCTAAAGATTTCCGGCCTTATATGAAAGATCTTCAATATAAGTTGCAAGTGACACGAAGTAACTTTGAGGAAAACAGTAAAAAACTAAGAAATAGACTTCATGAAATGCAGAAACAATCTCTAGACGAGCCCATAAGAAATTCTAGAGGTCGTAAAGAGGGATACCTCTATCTGCTAGAGAAAAGTATGTACAAAAACTTTGGTATAAAGCAAAATTAAAATGAAATATCGCGTTTTTATTTTTTTAGAGGCGTTTGGTATGACATGTACCAAACACTGGTGTACGTACAATAAGGAAACCAAGGAATTTACAATGTTACCTTACAATCAACTAACAAGTAAAAATATTGTAAGTTTATTAGACATATCTAAAAAAAATGCACGTACGTGAAGTGTTATTAGGCTGAAAGTTTTTAATTTTAGAAAGAACAACCAGAAGTAATGGTTCTTTCGTCTTGCGTCAGACGAATGTCAGATTCGATAGAAAAAAGGTTTTGTTTCGATTTACAAGTGGATTCAAGGCCTGGCATCACTTACACATTCCAAGCTGTTTCCGAAACCGATAGGAAATCCTGGCTGGATATAATGGATGGAAAAGAACCTGTAAGTGCCTAACATTTACTTAATGTTTTCTCTTTTTAGATATAACTCCCTTTTTGTAAAACAATTTTAAAATTAAAAAATTGAAATCAATAGAATGAAACCTTAGCTACTAAGGAAATAGATCTACACATAACTATTACATATGCATTTCTTTTAAATTTATTAATTAATTTGTTAGACATACACGACACCAGGAATAACGAAACTTCAAAAGCAAGATTGTCAAGTCTTGGATGAGATTGGGATTCAGTTTGTGAAGAAGTGTATTGAAGAACTTGAAAACAGGGGCCTCGAAGATGTTGGGATAT